GGGGAAAACGGAGAGATATAGCAGTATAACCATTCCTCCTATAAAATGAGAGTTTTGTTCCTGAGAAACACTGTATTATCAAAAAAATACTAACCGTGATTCAATAGCATTTAAGGGGTTAGGTGTAGGAATGCTGTCCAGGGTTTAAGAGGCGAAGCCTCATTGAGAAGGGACGTGTTACCTAGGTAAATACAGTTAAACCCAGGGCTCTGCAAAGAGAGCAATCTCAGTGAACAATCTTGTAGGATGTTGAGAAGGTCAGTGGCGCTAGTGAGATGGAGACTCTGGGCCTGGAGTCCACAAGCAGAGGGCCCAGAGTTCTCAGACTATGGCTCCACCTGTCCTGGTTGCCCCGATGTGTTGGCCAATGTCAACACTACTCTTGGAAAAGAGTGCATGGAATAAGGAGCAAATAATTAACCAGCAGGCTTTTAGAGGCATGTCAAGGCATGAATGAAGACGCCTGTTCGTGCCCACTGGCAGCTACTATCCCTTTAGTGTCATTGGTATCTGGAACGGTCAGTTTGTAAGATTGGAAATTTGTTATTTAATCAGAAACACAGCTTTCCTTAATTTTTACAGTATTTGCAAAGTGTCAATTCTGTACACCCAGATGCACAAATCTTACATTCTTTAGGTTTTTTTTTGTCATAGAGATTTAACACATCAAGCTTCTGTTTAAAATGAATGGCTATTCTTTTCTTCAATTCCCTTACAATAAAATCACTAACACTATGCTTCATAACCTCGCCACATATTGTTATAATAGTGTTATAATACTGTGTTTTCAATTAAAAATCTGAATAAAATTAAAAACTGTACCATGACAGCAAAGACAGACATGTTATACCTTTAAGGAGTCAGTGACTCACTCTGTTGTTTACTAATGTACACTGTCTAGCTGTGGATAGTCTTGTTATGCGAAATATTTTAGACCTAAGTGCTCGCTTACTAAACTCAGAGATCCTGACTGATTTGACTTTCTATTCAGCTCCTTTACCTGAAGCCAGAAACAGAAGAGGTAGTTAAATTTATTGGAAAGCGCTTTGTTTTATTAACAGACACTCCGACTCAAACCTGTATCGTACAGCAATATAGACGTGGGCAATGCCACCACAAGTAAATAATGTGCTTATCATGTAAATCCTGCTAAACTAGAAGCATTGCAGAAGGTGATATACTGTACATTATTAGTATTTGCAGAATCATGGTTTAGTTCAAACAAGCAAGTCTGTGGAGTTCTCCTTGTTTATTGGTACCAAACCTTGATGGGACGTCATGGTTCTGTACGGATCAGAGAAAAGTGAATGCTGAAACTCCA